AGTAGAAAAAAAGACCTCAGAATCTAAAGAATAAGCTAGTTCAGGTAATATATATATATATATATATATACAAAATAATGCATAGAAAGAACAACCAAATCATTAATAAAAATGATTTAAAATTGTAAAAAAAAAAAAAGAAAAAAAAAAAGAGAAAAGAAAACTAGTCAATCATACATGTTATTGTATCTATATTTTATATATTATATTGTTTTATTATTATAATTTATAACAATATAATAATTATGACTTTCTATATTTTATTAGTAAAAAAACATATGAAAAGTGATAATTATTTTATTAAAAATAAAATGAAAATATTTTTTTTTGATAATTAAAAAGAAAGTAAACATCAATTTTAATGACGAATAAATACTTCATACTTTATTAAATAACAACAGATAGTAATACAATATTGCTAGAGTTTGAATTTTACTTCTTTAGTTAAGTTACTGTGTCAATTTTTTTATTTTCGTTTATTTTACTTTCTTTTTTTTAAAAAAATATACAATTTAATTTCATTTTAATTTTTTTTAATTTATATTTTTACCTAGGCTAACTAGTTATCTTAATATTAATATATATTACAATAATTATTTACTAATTATCCCTTCCTAAATTTGTGTGTCTACAGTAAATAGACACGTAGCTGAGACAAACAGAGTAACTCATTAGTCAAAACTACATATAGTTTGATTCGATTTTTCGATTATAGTCAGCTCTTTTGAGTGTAACCATTTAAAAAACAAAAAAAAAATGCTTTTTTTTTAAAAAAAAAAAAAAAAGATTATCACCTTAAATCAATATTTAAACCACAAAGTCAAAAACGAAAAAACTTAAAAAGGAACAAATCCAAATTCTTTACATAAAATTTTACTATAATTATTTGGTTTTGATTTAAACATAAAATTTAAATTTAAATTTTACTTTAAAAAACTAATATTTATATATAAAAAATAATTAAATAATACTCATTCATTCCGTTCCAATTAAAAGGAATCTCTTAGAATTTTATATTCCCTTCGTCTCATTTTATTTGTTCACTGTTTCTATTTTCGTTCGTCTCATCTTATTTGTCATTTTTTTAAGAAAAATAATTTTAAATTTTAAATTGTATAATTAATAATTTTTCAACATTAATTAAGTTAATTAATTATCTAATTTTAATTTATAATAATTTATATTATATAATAATGATTTTTACTAGTATACTTTTTAATTATTTATTAATTATACTTACATTTACCATATAGTATTAAAAAAATAATACTCCCTCCGTCTATTCAAATTAGCCTACTTAGGTCTGAAAATATTTTATTGAAAAAGTGATGGTCAGTTGGAAGTATTTTTTAAAATTTAGTTAATAATTAAAGTAAACGAAGGAAAGAATGTAATCAAATTATTGATATATATTGTAAATAAGTGTTAGAATTGAGAATACTAATTAAATATTAATTTGTTGATTTTACCAAAATTAATAATGAGATAAATTTAGTAATATTTTATTGATTAATTAAAATGCACATAATTTTAATATTTTACCTTTGTACTTTATACATAATTAAATTATTAATATAATACTATATTTGTAATTTATATAAAAAGTAAAAGATATTTTGATATCAATGATTATTTATATAAAGCAAAATAGCAAAAAGATCATCACGTGGTTTTCAAAATTTGCTGAAAACTCTTCATGGTTTTGAAATTCCATAAAAATCTACTAGTGGTTTGCAAATATTGCACGCTCCCCTCATTTCAAAATTGGATTAACGGTGTTAATTTTTTAATTATTTAACCATTATAACCCTGCATATTTTTTTTATTTTTGACCATTTATTCTAAGTTGACCAAATTTTATTTTACTTTTATCATGTATATATATACATACAAATATTTACATAGATATACATATACAAACACAAACTCTTCCTCTTTCTTCTTTTTTTTTTTCTCCATTTTTTTCTACCTCTGTATCTTTCTTTTTTATACATAAAAATACGCAAATACATACATATTCTTCTTTTTTTTTTTCTCCTTTCTTCTTTCTTCTTCTTCATTTTTTTATTTTCTTCACCTATGTTTCTTCCTTTTTTACACATAAACATACACACATACATACATATTCTTAATTTTTCATTGTTTTTCTTCTTCCGTTGCCTGCCTGCCTTCTTTTCTTTTTCTTTCTTTTTCTCCATTTTTTTCACCTCTATTTGTTAAAGTTTCATTTCAATTTAGGAGATTGGTTATCGATTTTGTTTGTTAGATTCATAGATCGAGTGGCTAAATCGAAGAATCTAATTGTTTTTGTACTCATTTGAATTCGATTAAAACCCTTACCGATTTGAATTTGGGGAGTTTGAAGTTTAACCCAAATCTTGAGAAAAACATACATAATTTGAAAAATCTTGAGAAAAACATGTTTGTTTTATATATAATATCATTGTCCGATTCTGAATAAGGTTTCTATTACGTGTGAAGTTTCTGATTTTCAAGTTGAATTTATGTTGTAATTTTTCGAGTCTCATGATGTGCTTTAAGATTTAATTTAAATTTTTGCGCAAATTTCTTCTATTATGTGAATTGGAGTGAACCGGAATTGAGGAATAAAAGAAGGGGAAGTAGAGAAGAGCGAAGGGGAATGAGAAAGGGAAGAGGAATGAGAGAAAAGTCTATATAATAAAGTCAGTTCTGGACCAAAAATCACGTTTGAAGTACGTACGATACACTCTCCGTTAACTCCCAACGGAGGGGGATTTTTCACCAACGTTTTTACAAACCACAAGTAAGTTTTTTGGAGTTTTAGAACCAGAGATAGTTTTCAGCAAATTCAGCAAACCACACGGAAGTTTTATGCTATTTTGTCTTTTTTATAATAATAGAAAATTTATTCTTTTGAGTGAAATAAAAAAAAAAAAAAAGTAAAAATATACTTCTAATTGAGTTGGATGGAATATAATTTATTAGGTCTCATTTTTGCTGCTGATTTACAATAACTTTACTCCAACCACAAACTTCAATTTTATTCTAAACATATATTATTATATTCTCTATATATTTCTCTTTTATATTATTTTATATAACTTTCGTATTTATAAATTACACCTTAACTTTAATTTGTTTTTACATTATCACTATAAAAATATATAATTCATATTTTATTTATAAGATTATATATCACTTTTTAAAAAATAAATTATATTATTATTTTTTAAAAAATTAAAGTTACACAATACTTTTCAAAATATAAAACTATATATAACTTTTTAAAAAATAAAATTACATAAAACAATTACGCAAACTACTCCAATGTTACTCTATTTTTTTACTGGATTTATGCAGTGACTTGGAGATGGTCTTAGTGAACTAAATAGTAATTAATTTAAATTTGAAACTGTAAATAAATACACCTTTCGTATTATCTTAGATTACTATGGAGTAAATTTCAAATGCAACCATCTATTTGCATTTTTTAATACTATTTAATATAGGAAAAAAATTATTTTTGTCCCAATATAACCAAAATTCATCAATTTTAGTCCAAATATAAAAATCTTATCAATTTTGGTTTCAATATAACCAAAACTCATCATTTTTTATCTCAATATAAATTTTTTATTAATTTTAGTCCCAATATAACCAAAACTCATCATTTTTTGTCCCAATATAAAATTTTTATCGTCCAAATATAACCAAAACTCATCATTTTTTGTCTCAATATAATCAAACCTTAATTTTTTTGATCCCACAGTCAACAAACCGACGAAAATGCTGACGTGAAAATAAATCAAACCTTATATTTATATTTAAAGAAATTGCACAATCTTGCAAGTCGCATTTTTCGTCGGTTTGTTGACGGTGGGACCAAAAAAAATAAGATTTGATTACATTGGGACCAAAAATGATGAATTTTAATTATATTGAGACAAAAAATGATAAATTTTGATTACATCGGAACCAAAAATGATTGAATTTTAATTATATTAGGACCAAAATTGATAAGTTCATATTAGAATCAAAATTGATAAATTTTGATTATATTGGGACCAAAATGATATTTTCCTTTAATATATTATTACTCTCAATAAATATAATATTCAAATATAAAGTTTCATTAAAAATATTAAATTAACTTACTTTTGCTAAAAAAGTTTAAAACCCAAATATAAAACACTGTATAATTTAACCCAACACAATCCAACCATACCATAGCCTTATGTTTACGGAGTAATTTTCTTTAAAATTTATTGGATGTGATATTTTATTTTATTTTTTTTTAAAAAAAATACAAAATACAAAACAAAATAAATAAATAAATAAATATTTTCACAGTGAAATGTGAGGATTCAATAGAAGATTTAAAAAAACAAATCAAAATAATTAAAGCTTTTAACACTGTTCTTTTATGATTTCAAATGAATAGTATTCATTCTACACAGAAGTTTCAATAAAAATACACTATCTTTTCTCACAAAGTATCAATAAAAAAGTATTTCCACAAATTCAAATTTAACACCATATTTCAAACCACTGCCAAACTAACTTTTATTTTCAATCTCCCATAGTTCTAGCTTTGATCAAAGCTAGATTACTTTTATTATTATTAGGTTAAATTGCACAAAACCAACGTGTAGTTTTATAAAATTGGCCAAATCTTCTCTACTTTTAAAATTACGTCAAATCTTCATGGTTTTATAAACTTTGCTAACCCCTCGGCGGTCTTTATTTAACTATATTTGACCTAAAAAATATCATTAAATAAGAACTGCCGAGGGTTAAACACAGAATTTATGAAACTACCGGGAGTTAAAACAGTTTTAGAAGTATAAGAGATTTTGTGCAATTTCGTGAAACCACGAATGAATTTTTTTGTGCGATTCAGCCTTATTATTATTATTATTATTTAACAGGAGTCTATTCACTTATTTTTTCCCATAAAAATTTATATTAAATCCCTATGATTCTCTTAAAAAAAAAAAAAAAACATTACAATCCAACAATTAAACTAAACTGATCTTTCTATGCATCTTTCCTGTCTTACACACACATCTTTCATAACTACCAAAAATCTGCAACTTAATTCATCACATGAATTTTTCAAAATCTTGACCCCAACTTAGTGTAGAAACAAATTCATAAATCATGAGTTTCGACACATACCTGTAATAGCTGATCCCCATGTAAGAATCATTTGGACATGTTGGGCTCCGCAGTCGACAAAATCTTGTCGACATCCTCAAAATAGGGCCAGCTCTTCTGGGACTTGGCGTCTCGCTTGCTTTCCTGTTCAAAACACAGGTATGACTAACGAGCTGCGAAGAAATTAATAGAACTTGTTTATACTCGGACATATATGTAGAGATTGTAGAAGACCACCTCGTATTTCTGAACAAGGGATGTCCAAAGGGATTTACACTGTCCGGGGCTTCTGCTGATTCCATCGGACGACAAATTTGAAGATATCTCTTCCCAGAGGGCCATCCGTCCCTTGATGACTTGGAATCGGCTATGGAGCTCTCTGCGCATTTTTATTAGCTTCTTGATCTCTTCGGGTTTCCATTTGTTCCTTTTTACAGACTTTGCGAGCTTTGGTCGAGACTTTGGCTGTTCTGCTGCTGGAAATAACGCACTGTTGCTGTTGTTGCCGTCTGACTGATTTCGGACTGATGAGGATATGAACGACTTGAAGAAATCAGCTGATTCATCGATGTTGGGATCCCTTTCGGATGCCTTGGAATCTGCCGTAGCTTCTTTTTCTTGATCTCTTCCTTCGAAATCAAACACTGCATTGTTAAGAGGATTTAAATTAGATCGGATTCCTTCATGGATGTTTTACAATCTATAGTTTCAATCTTGAACCAGTTCCAAGTTACGAAATTTTGAATTTAGAAAAAATGATAAACCTTGTAAGTCGTCTTCTGCAGTAGTCGTTGCAAGTGAAAGGGTATTTTCATCTTGGTCAAGAATGTCGAACGGCTTTTTACCCTCTTCATGTCCATCGACTGCTTTTCTCAGTGCCATCATCTCGGAACTAATATGCGTCTTTCCTGATAGTTTTCCGTTGATCTCATCAGCAATAACTCCGGCCGGATTCTCTGTAGCAACAGCTATGACTTCAGGTCTTTTGCCACTGTACTTTCTCACCATTTTCCTCAGAACTTCAGAAACTGTTCTTTCCATGTGGGCGAGAGGGCAATTTACGGGACAGCTTGACAGAGAGGCGTGCGCTGCTTTATGAAGGGCATCCAAAAGCCGTCCTTTATCAAGCCATAAGCATCTAGTAGTGATTCGAATTTTTCCTTTTAAAACTTTCTCGGCGTCTCCGGCCTGAGGCCGCATTATTTCCATGCTGCATGAAAGGGACTACGATCACCAGGCAGAAACAAAGTTGAAGAAGAAAGGGATGGAGATATTAAAGCTCTAGATACGAACCTAATCACTACAATACCGTCTGTAGCTATTTTCATTCTCTCATCGACACATAGTTCAGCTGCTGTGCCAAAAGCTTTGTCGCCATCACTGTACATCAGCTGAGGTTTTGAAACGAATGAGCAGGATATTTCCTCAGAGAGTGGAGAAGATAGAGAAGAGAGTTTAGTAATGAAACCTGTAGATTCTCTTTCCCAAGGGAAATGAAACCATTTGACAGAACTCTTCTGTTTCTTAAATGTGACACTCCGAGCATCTCCCCATTCTTTATAACCTGGAGTTGCAAGGGAAGATAAATGCTGTAATTAGGATCATATGCGAAAAGAAATCATCAATTTTTGAAAATCAATATAGATTGGTCAGACAGCAGTCGAAAAACATGAAATTACTAAGATCACTTACAGTAGTATGATGAATGCCGGTTGACTTGCCAAGCAACTCATGCTCTTTCAAGAATAAGAGTTCTCCATGTATAGGGAGGAAGTGTTGTGGCTTAACAATTTTCAGCACTTCATCCTTCAAGGAAGAACAGTATAAAATAGCAACATAGAGAAAAATTGGAAAAAAATTTCGAACCCGACAGCTGGAAGGAAATTAGTACTTTTAATTACAGCACAAAGGGCTGAATGTTTAATGGCTGCTAGATTTCAATTGCAAAGTAAACCTAAAATCCATCATGCATCGACACTTCTAAAAAGGATTTTTATTTTTCAATTATGGCCAAATGTCTTACCAATTCTTCTCGATGGGCATGACCGGATGTATGCAACAGCTCGTTCTTCCCCATCACTATAGTAGATCCAATTTCTGATATCCGGTTTAGCATGTCCATGACTCTTGTTTCATTGCCTGGGATTACCTACAGAATAGAGTTCATAAACAATTGCATCTCCATCAGGGGAGAATGGATTTTTTAGGCTTAAAACAAATGCACAATACGTACGAATCTTTTTGTAGCAATCAACATCAGTTTTGGTTCATTCAATTCAACACACAGAAGCAGATAAAAAAAATGAATGGACTTTGAAGAAAAATCTAAGGTAGGTAATTGGTGAACTGGTAAGCAAAACCCAAACAGAGTTGAGAAATGTGAAGAGAAATCAATAAGGTCAGTCCATAACTTACTTTAGCAGAATATAAAATAAGATCTTCTTTCTTCAACTTGAGGGAATGACCACTTCCATATGATGCAAGATTCAAAGCAGCACGAGGTTCTGCCTGACAAAATAGAAGTTTTTAAGTCACAAGGTACTCAGAATTTTGAATTGTAAGAAAAGCTAAGTGGCAATGTACTTGAGATCCGGTGGTGACGATTAGCAGATCCTTTGGAGCATAAGAATCCATATCTTCCACTTTTACCTGCACATTAAACCTTTAACCACCAGTGTTGAGACAAAATGGGAATACACTACAAATGAAACGCAAGATAGGAGGGAATAATTAAAGACAAATGCGATCTATGGATGGAATTGTTTTTTGAGGAAAAATGAACAATACAGAGAAGATAAATGTGTTTGAAGTCCTTACCAGTGTCGAAGGATCGATGGGCGCCTTTCCATCTTTCCAAGCAGCATCAAGGTATGTCCGTAAGGACATCCCAACAAATACCTATACACAGATGGCTAAGTTAGTGGTTTCTTGAACTGCTGTTGTGAGCTTCTGAAATGCATAACAAATATCATTCTTGTACCAACTTCCGGCCAGTCAAATCAGCAGCAGCTTTTACACTACCAAGGCGATGAATATTGGAAGCAAACTGAGTAGTAACAACCCTCCCCTTAGCAGCTGAGATATGCCTTAACAATGAATCTGCCACAACTGTCTCACTCAATGTCCTTCCTGGTGAAAGCACATTTGTAGAATCACTCATCATCTGAAAACAGAGGCACATGATGAGTGAAATTTCTTTTTCTTTTTTTTTTTAAAAAAATGTTCTAAAGGGTGAAGACTATAGTCGGCGCCCCAAATTATTCAATATTATCAACCAATGCAATAATTTCAAAATCAATGTAATTGTACAATACTAATCCAACTCTAGAGTAAAAAGTATAATGAAGTATTAACCATTGCCCATTCAATGGATCATAAATAGTGTTGCCACCATATTCAAGGGCTCATGTTAAGCAAAACTTTAACTAAGAGATTGCATTGCTCACCAAAGTTACGCCTTCCTTTGCAAGTTCTTCTAGAGACATGCGATCAAAAACTTGCCCATCCAGTGGTGACTCGTCTATCTATCAAATTATTCATTAGCATTCAGTGTGAAAACTAGTTATGTAGACAAGCAAAAGAGGATAACAAGTACCTTCCAGTCTCCTGTGTGGAGAATAGTACCATCGGCACATCGGAAAACCAACCCAGAGCAATCTGGAATAGAATGTGTGACCCTTATGGGTTCAACTTCAAACGGTCCGGCAACAAACCTCCTCCGTGTCTTAAATACTTTAAGTCTAGATGGAACAAAAATCCCAAACTCCTTTAAACGCTTTTTGATAAGCTGCTTGAACAAAAATAATAGGTTATATATTTCCAAGAAGATCATGCAATTTCGGAACGACCTACAAAACAATAATCAAAAAAGAAATCTTTACAGACTATATTCTTTCCATAGACTATTATGTGTAAAGTGATAACCTAGTATGAACAGTATTAGTGTACCACATCAATCATTTAAACAAGACAATATATATGAAGCGAATTTGCAAAATGATAATCACAAACCTCCATGGTGAAGGATGAAGCATATATTGGTGTGTGAGAATCCAACGCTGGAATGACCTGCTCCAATGGTAGCAACAGTTAATATTTAAGGGCACATGATTCAACATTAACAACTCCAGCCATGAACCACAACTAGAATAGTGACGAAAGGGCTTTGCTCACTTTCTTAGTTGTTGCAAAAAGAGATATTATAAAATCGTAACATAATGACAAATAGATTCAACATCATCATTGATAATAGACACTAGAAGGCCGTATTCTATTTATGAAGTATGAATAGACCCTATAATAAGAAATTCAAACAAAGCAGCTACTTATTTTTAAATAAACCGTATCTTACATTCGAAACCTAAATATATAAGGGTAAAGTGTATAATACTCCCTGTGATCTACTAAACAATCATCATTTTCACATGTGGTTTAAAAGTTGCATGAGACCTATTTGTATTTTGTAAACTCTATGTAGAACCCGCCTTACGCAATTTTAAATCATAAGAGAGAACAATGATTTTTTAGGAAACCACTGGGCAATGTAATGCAATTTACCCAATACATAATAACAGCTTATGAATTGGGGAGCCAACGTAGGAGAAGAGAAAACGACAAGAAAATTTTGGGCTTATTTAAACTGGTACTGAAATTCTGTACCAGTCAAACAAAAGCACACACAGATATTATCTTTGCATCATAAATTTCATATATATCCCCGTCTGACACGATTTCAAATGATATTTTCCAATAACCAGAATCGGAATCAGAAACTTTACCCAAGGCAACGCACCAATGTGGTCTTCATGCCCATGGGTAATAATAACAGCTTCAATTTTGTGCCTCCACTTTTTTATAAACATTGTATCCGGTATAATCTTTTGGACACCAAGTTCATCGTAGCTGTATAGATATGACAAAAACAGTAAATAAAGGTTAAGTATACTTGATCAGAAATTTAATGGAGAAAAAAAAATCAGAAATTGATGCATCTAGCAAGCATAAAATTTTAGCTTCGACACAAATTGCGTGGCTATGCTGGGACAGTATCTCTTTGTGGTACACTTAAACTATGTCAAAACAAGAAAACCATCCACCGAACATGAAAAAACAACATAGATGAGTGGTTCAAAATTTTAAATTTCAATGCTCTTACTTCATTGGAACTTACCCTGGAAACATTACGCCAGCATCGACCAAAATATAACGATCATAGTTCCCTATCAGCATGCAATTCATTCCAATTTCTCCTAAACCACCAATGGGTAATATGCGTAACGGCGGCCCCTCCGGACCTTCATAAAACTGTTCCATCTTGCGTTTGACTGAATCTTCCATGCTCTTTCCAGCTCCTTCCATTCGTCCTGACCTTCTACGGGGAACATTAGAGCTACGCGAACCTAAAGACAGTACAATAGCAAATCAACTTTCCAAACCAGGAGCTAATAATAAGTAAAATTTTTCCATTCATCAGGTCTAGAATATGAAATCATTCAATAAAGTCACGAAAGATCAAACCAGTGCAATATTGAGTAAATTAACGAATAGAAATGACAATTTAGAAGCACAAACGAGATAGTTAAATTTCAAAGCTAAAACGCACAATACAATTAGGCGAATAGAAACACCAAAAACACCTAACTTGCCTCTTTTCCCCTAACAAATCGCAACTATTGCACAATCCAAACGAGGAATTAACTAGCTAAACAAGCACACACTATCTTCACCGGATTCTAGTTAAGAAATTCGATAACATATACGCACCCTTGACGGAAGGCACAGATGCACAGCCATAAACGAGCCGCTTCCTGTGCTCCGGCTGCCGCCGGAAGAGCTTGTGCGGGCATACTGAAGTCGCATTCAAAGCATTCATCTCCGAGCAAAGAATACTGGTAGAAAATGCACATCCGAGCTTCATAAACACACGAACAAGGGAAACCTGATGAATTTAAACTGCAAAAAATCAAAAACCCTGAAGAACAGCTGCAGCAGGGTTTTAGAGAAAGTAGGAGTGGTGGGTAAAAAATCTTTTCTCTTATCAACAAAACCATCTCTATATATTTCTGGCTTATGGCAATTGGGAAATTTGAAAATTGCAGAAACGCTGGAATCGCAGAACACGATAATTAAACCTGTTAAATGCGACTTTTACTCAAGAATATAAAACTCCCTCAGTTACGCTTTTTATAATAAATTTATCTATTTTAAATATAGTTATGCTATTTTCTCCATACCAAATATTTATTTTTAGTATTGCACTTTGTTTTTATTTTATATTATATTTCTTTTTTAAATATATTTAGTATATATATAACAATTAATTTCATAACTATAATCTCTTAACCATCTTTTAAAATCTCTCTGGGTGTGTTTTTTATTTTGGGAAAAAATTTTAATTTGAGCTTAGTTTGATTTTAATTTTTTTTTATAGTTTTGGAAAGAGGTGTTAGTAAATTTGGTTTGAATTTAAGGAGTTCTGATAAAATATTAATTTGATAGTTAATAAATATAATAATATAATGTGTATTAAAATTGAGTTATAAAAATAATAATAATAGTATGTCTTAATTATTAATTTATATTAATTATAAATAAATATTTATATCTTTTTATTTATATTAATATAAATTTTATTCTTTAAAAAATGATATTCATATTTTATATATATTTTTATTAAAATAATTAAACATATATTTTAAATTTTTTTATCTTATATATATATATTACATTATAAAACAAATATTAATTAAATAAATTACTTCCAATCAATTTTCAATCCAATTTCTAAGGCAAGAGACGAAATAAGTAATTTGATGTACTTTTGCACAGCTATACAAAGCCGCCTATGTTTTGTTGTGAAATGATCTGATAAGTACAGCCAACCGCTATGTGGCATTAACTGTTGGTGGATTGTGTGATATATTGGTGATAAACGAGTATATTTCAAATTTATGGATTGTTTAAGTTATCGACCATGAATATTCAACCAATGGTGTAATTGTTCTGTTACATGTTATGATGTGTGCTCGTATGTGTTTTCGGGTTTGAAAATTGTGATCAATCGATGGTGCTGGAATTTGAAATTATCTCTATATAAACTTAAATGTGCAGTGTTTGGTCTTGAATTTGCAACGTTGAAGCTACATATACTCACATAGGAAAATGTTTTATCAAAATTACAACTCGATTTGTTAAGTGCCAAATTGAGTTCATTTGAAGAAACAAACATTTTATCAATCTGCATCTCATTAGACAAATAATTCATAGCTACATTTGTGTGAGTTTTCAACTATAAGTTCGTAACTCTAATAACCTAAATCGTTCATGATGTTTCCAATCCCACTCATCTCCCCCTTTTCAATAAGATGGTGAATGCATTGATGAACTAAATCCATTGGAACTGTTAGTTGATCGAGAAGATTTCCACTCCTAAATAAACTGTCTTTTTTCAAATGTGAAATCTTATAGCAGTTATCTCCCTTTAGTTTCATAACTTTGATCATACAACTTTGAAAACTTAGGAATACCTTGTTTAATATCTCGAGTGTCAACTCGTTGAAACTTGTAACGACAGCATCAACGAGCTCATCCATTGTCTTACACACTTTCCCGGTTTGTAAACTTTGCATTGCTCATACAAAACGCATGTACATGATTTTTTAAATAAATTTTTTGCTTTTGCATGTTTTGTGTTGTTCCTTTTCAATGAGTGTCAAGTAAAAAAGATGACTAGATTTTGATATGTAAAACTATTTCTCATCAATATGTACTATGTCATGCATGGTTTTAAATTTTTCATTTTCAATGCAGCGAAAAACATCGACCGAGTCTAAGGAAAAACTTAACCTTGCATGTTTGTTTGCCTCGGTAAGTTCTGGTTTAACATCATTTGTATGAGTTTTGGTTTGCTTCTTTTTTACCCATCTGGGTACTGTGGATTTTGAGCATTTGACCACTTCTGCTAAAGTTCTGATGGATGAACATTGTAGAATAGATAACTTCCCGATTGCAACCAAATCAAGTTTGATTTTATCGCTCCTCTAAGTTTCCCTTTTTTTTTTTTCGACAGTGAAATCTTCACATTTAGATCTTTTTCCTTTGACAGTTTTTCACCGTCTGGCAACAGTTTTGGTAGAAATTTTTAACCGCGCTACTTCACAAAATGTTCCAATGATCGGCAACCCGGATTGATCGCACCTGCCCAAGATAAACTCAATAAGTCTACGGTGATCATGTGTTGTAAGGTGTGCATTTGGTATTTTTATTTTGGCTAGAATCAAACACTTATGGATATAGTTTTGTAAAAAATGTTTTATGTTGCAATTAACGTCCTATTTATAATTGTGTGTTTGTGAAATTTGTGTTGTTTAAATGGGGAAAATTTTGGCATGTTTAATATTTTTGGTGGGAAATCTAGGGGTTGGTTTAGTGGGGAATTTTGGCAAAAGTAAATTTTTTTTTTTTTTTTTTTTTTTGGTGAATATACATTCTGTGATGCAATTTGTTGGAAGCTCTGTATTTTGTACAATGTATTTTTTGTATTATGCATTTCTTAATTTTGTATATAAATATATATATACAATACATTCTGTATTTTTTTTCTTCAAATTGTAATAGTTTTAGCGAATTTATTTTAATTCAATTACAATATTATTTTTAGTATAACTAATCAAATCTTTAATCTACTAAATATTTTTACTAATTATACAATATCTAAAACTCTATATCCCAGTTAAGGTGGACAAATTAGCTGGGACGGAGGAAGTATTATTGACTCATCGTATTCACTATATCTAAGTCCTTGTCCAACCAAGATTAGTGTCGAGTGCGCAAAGCATCCTACCAATTTTGTGCTTACACGGTTCAACTAACAGGCGAGGAAACCTTTGCATTTCATTTCCAACATAAAAGATATTCAAGGTTTATTGTGTGATGGTAAATTTTTATTGAATTTGACTGACGAACAACATTTACTCTGAATTTTAGCACAATTGCTTTGTGTGTATCCTGACATCGGTTTTGACTAGGCCATTCAAACATTGTTGAATTCATGGCGACAAGATATACGTGCAATGATTGCGTGCAAATCGTGATTGATCAATTGTTGGGTAGTGTTCATGTATTTGCTACAGTGTTAAATACTGTAGCAAATCAATTGTGTGATAACTAGATTAAATAATACAACCTATTAATTGTCCATTTAATCAATAAGTTATCTTATTTTGTTGATTACTATTGCCCACACCTGTACTACAAATACATATGTATTGAATATTGATGGGTTTTCACATATATCAATCCATACAGATACAAGTGTTGACGCCGCCAAACCCTGATTCCATCACCGAAATCCATTCTGCAATCCTCTCCACTCAGCCCTTACTCTGTAACCAATCTATTTCTCGCGATTGATCGGTGCAAAAACATTTGGTTTATGTTATTCGAGGAATAAGGAATTCAGTATCACTTTTGCTTGAGTAGATTGTTGTTTTCTTCCACACCCGGGTCTGGATTTTTGGGGTATTGGTCGGGAATAATGTTTGATAATCAGCTACCGTCCGCCGATGTTGCGTTGAACGGGTATAAAAGTAGTAGTCCAGTATCGTGGCGGCGGAGCCTTACCTCGCAGTAGGCGTCTTTTTTCTGTGGAGATTCTTAGCAAAACTCGTCTCTGTTGGCCACGGTTGCTCCGGTAGAGCCTGGACGTTCTTCCTCTCTGGCACCGCTGGACCAGGCATCAGGTTCGGATAGCGTGTTGGCTGAGAGTTCGGGCTCGGAAGGCTTGCCGGAAAGCCACGATCTTAATGATGACAACAATTCTGGTCGGAAGATGAGGCTTGCTTGGAACAGGCCGTTGAACGGTGGCGTTCATCCCACTTCTGTAATGGGTGGGGCAGTCTCCTGGCCTGCACTTTTGAAGACAACCCAACCGGTTATTAGATCGTTGTCAGATAATTTTAGGCTATTTTCTGATGGATATGTCTCTTCGTCTCAGGCTCCTATAGCACAATCTCCACAACGGCCAATGAATGATAGTTCTAGTGGTACTGCTAGTTCTGCTATAAATAATCCAATGCATGTGAGATTGAGGTCAAGGAACCGAAATATAGGAGGTACCTCTGCGGGAATTGCTTCAGCACCGAACACTTTTAACCAGATGTCTCTCTGGATGACACTACCATGCATAACATGGTTCCTATTGTCCTGGATGCTTTAGTGAGGGGCACAAGACCTGTTGGAGGAATCGAATTGGAAATAAACATTCTCAGATGAATAATTCCAGAAATAGTGGTGGTTATGGTCCCTATCCTCGAGGAGATGGGAAATACCACAATAATCATGGTGGAGTGAGGTGTGGTCAAGGTTGCAGAGATGTTCTTCCTCACCCGCCCTATGGACCTCCTTCTTATATGGGCTATAAACCTTCTCCTCTACCCTTAGAGCTCCACATTTTATTACACCTCCAGCTATAGGAGTTTTTTGAAGTAGGATCCCTTTTTTTCTAATATCCAATTCCTTTAGATTTCTTCAGACCTATCATTGTTGTTCCGACATCTGTGCCACCTCCACATTTAGCCATTACCGCTGATAATACATTAACAAATAGTATTTTTACGCAAATAGACTTTTATTTCAGTGATAAAAATTTAATGAAAGATACTATTTAAGATCAAAGATGGATGACCAAGGTTGCGTTCCGATTTCTTTAGTAGCTTCTTTCCCGCGAATCAAACAAATGACAAGTGACATTTCATTGATTATGGAATCCTTGAGATATTCTACGGTTGTGAAGATGCAGGGAAACAAAGTCAAAAGGCGCAACGAGTGGGCGCGATGGTTGCTTCCACCTCACTGGTTTGCTAATTTTGGTTTTTAGATCACTGGAGCACCTGACAATAAACTGGCAACTTTTTTACAGGGAATTTCAATCGACAATACAATAGCTGATTTAAATTGGAACAACGATGCCATGGAATGACATATTGAGATGATTGTAGAGAGGATTGGACAATCAGTTGAATAAGCTCATGCAATTAACGTATAACTATCTAATTCCGGAAACATTTTGGAATAGTTGAGCCTAAGGGGTGGGCGTCAAAGCAAATTATTTCTTAGTCTGAGGCGTGCCCTTAATGAATAGTGCCCTAAAGATTTATATCGTCAATCTAACTAACATCGTTATTTTTTATGCTGATATAGTTCATGTTCACAATCACCTTTGAACTTTCGGTCCTGCACTTTATCATGAAAAAACCAATTTTAAGGTGGAATTTCCTCTCTTTGCAATGAATTGTGAATTTGAAAAATAAAATTGATAGCATGCCGTGGTGGTTGTCTGCTCGGCTTGATTTTTGTCTTTTGAGTACTTGCTAATGATATTATGTTAGTTGAGTAAGATTTCAAGTTTTATACTTGTTTGTCGTGTATTGTTCAATTCATTTGTAAAGATGAATCTTGTTATAAAAAAAATGTGTTGAAGTTGAGTTATATTCCATTTGAATTTTCTTTTTGTTTTGAGAAACGCGGTAAGATGGACGACGAAGCTAGACACGAAGATGAAAAGCAACTTCGTCATGGACAGCGGTGCGCCAAAGTGCTTACGCAAGATGCCGGAGACAGATGCGATTGCAGCTACTCAAGCGAGAACAACTTGAAACGCTGCAAGTGGTGGTACTTTGTCTTTCGTATATGATCAAAGCTAGTGCCCCAACGTGAAGGTGTTACATTTACCGCGATCGCGAAGAGAGACATGAAGAGTTATGGGCATACTACTTATCCGAGCCGACTCGTTTTCCTGCATCATTTTGTCGCTGGAGATTTCGCATGCACCGGGAGCTATTCACTAGAATATTACATGATATGTGTAATAACAATCGATATTTCACACAGAGGCCCGACTATATGAATCGCCTTATTCATTCACCCCTGCAAAAAGTGATGGTCGTTGTATGAGTACTTAGGTATGGGTGATGTGTTGATAGTGTGGACGAGGTCATAAAGATTGGGGGCACTACAGTCCAAAGGGCAACCATTGAGTTTTGTGAAACAATCGTATCTATTTAAAAAGAACAATATTTACGGGATCCAATGCTTGATGACATAACCCATTTTTGGCCAAAAATAAAGCATAGAAGTTTTCCAAGATGATAGACTCACTTGATTGTATGTATTGGCGATAGGATGCATACCCGATCGCTTGGCGCGAATAATATAATAGACGTTATGGCTACCCTACATTGATTTTGGCTAATTGAAGTTCTGTTCGTAGGAACAACTCGATTTAATACGTAGAAGGGGAAAAAATCTATTTAACACAATGCCCCAACATTGTTTTAAATGTCTGGCTTTTACCCAAAAAATCAAGTGCCCTATTTCGCTTCTTATTTTAGCTCGAGACTAGCACCAAATAGAAAAGGTAACTGTCTTCACAATTGAAGAACCCTAACAGCAAAGCCCATATAAGACTTATTTTCTACCACTAAAAAATTATAGTTGGCATACTATATAATTGCAATTTTGTCTAAATTCTTACATGTGTTTGGACCCTTCAACGGAATTCTTTCCTCGAAATTAGGGAAGCTACCGGCGGACAACCTCACATCGGAGTTCACACTCCTCAACAGTGAATGGTTTTTGAAAGATGAAATACATAATTAGAGAAGAGGAAGAGAAGGAAGAATATAGCGAAAAGAGAAAGAGAACGACGAATATGGAGGACAGAGGAAGAGAAATAAAAAATTTGAGAGTGAATACCTCAACGTCGTCTCGCCTGAACCAGGCAATCGCAATTGTAGATTGAGATTTTGTAGTTGAAAATATGACTGTTTGCGGAGTAAATATATCGATCCCCTGACACGATGCCCTCGACGGTACGTGGAAAGACCTCTAAAGAAAAATGATTATGTATATAATGAGTATTATATTTTGTAAAAGTTATGAAAAATATTTTATATTAAATTAAATTAATTTATTAAAACATTTCATATCTACATTGTTGTTCTTCGTTTTTTTCACTTCTCCTTTCGGTCTTTCATATTTTATTATTTGATTTTTTTTTCATCTACAATTTATTGTTAGATTCTTAAAATTAGTTTTGCTTTATTTTATAAATATCTTCCTTTATTAATTTCTTTTAATTACGATGAATAATTTTATTTTAAAATTCTTAATTGTTTTATGGAGTATTAGTTATTTGTTGTACAATATTTATTATTTAAAATTGTAAGATACAATTGTTTTTTAATTGCTCTTATTTTGATATTAATTAAAAAGATATATAATTTTACTAATTTTTTTAAAAAAGTTAATGAGTTAGTTCACTTAATTGGAGGTGAGTTGAGTTAGATTTACTAAATCCCATTAAATTGACCAACAAATAACTCATTTATTTGCAAATAACATATTATAATAAATTATAGGCTAATTTACGAGATCCATAATTATATTTCTATATAATTTACTAAAAAATTAAAATGACAAAAAGAGCTATATGCACGCCTAAAAACTACACTTTCGTGGATCTTTATTTTTCAGTATTATTTGCTGCAAAGATAATTAGTTCATTAACCTACACAGCAGCAACATAAAACTAACTGATGAAATACTTTTGAAAAAAAAAATCGAAGCGAACCGTGGAATCGAATTTTCAATTAATCGAACAAATTCGATTCGAGTACAAATACTGCATATTTGATATTTGTTCGGTTCGATTCGATTCGATTTCGAATTTTGATATTTTTGGGTTCAATTAACCGAACCGTTTATATATTTATATTTTAAAATTTATATTAATAATTATATTTGATTTCGGTTCAAATATTTGAAATATTTACAAATATTTCTATTTAATTAGAATATAATTATTTTTTAATATATATATTTTTTATTTCGATTTAGTTCGAGTTATTTGCAAATACGACAAATATTTTCAATTAACTAAAATTTTTGGTTCGAATACGGTTCGCAATTTTGAATATTTGTTCGATTCGATTCGGATATCAAATAATTGTATATTTGCAATTATTCGAATCGTGCCCACCCCAAATACTTTCCACAAAAATACACATCTCAATTTGTAGCTATACATAAGTGGGAATATTATATAATATATAACTAATAATGTACTTTTTATTAATTTAAATTTTTTAGCTGAGACAATCATTTAACATCACGGCGACAACATTGTCTTCCCCGTCCTCGGATCGCTGCCGCCGTTCGAGGTTGCCTGAACTTGAGCCGCGTACTGTAAGTTCCACAAAATGTCTTCGAACGACGGCCTAGTCGACGACTCAGCTGATATGCAATTGATCGTCAGGGAAACGACAATCGAGAGGGACTCTTGACAGCTCGTCGCCAGCACCGTCCGGTCGACCATCCGCCTTTGCCCCTCCGGACTCCCTAACGATACCTACAAACCGATCGATGATCATTCGTCATTTGTTTGAAACAATCGGTGAGTAAGACAGACACTCCGTATATGAAATTTTCACTCACTATTTCGTTGTGTAGAAACGACTCGTTTAGTTTACAAACCGATGGCCCGATGAGGGACTCGAGTAGTATGAGCCCGAAGCTATAGACGTCGTCTTCTAGGTTCTTCGTTTGCCTGAAAATGTTAATGATCATCGCTCTGTTCACTTAAATGACCAAAATGATAAGAAATGTCGTTTACAGTTGCAAAACTATACTCTCTCCGTCCATTTTAAAAGTATATATTTACTTTTGGTGCAGAATTTAAAAAATAATAATATTTTAATTGTAGTAGATAATTAAAAATAATATAAATATAATTTTGCCCTTACTTTTTAGGTGAAAGTAGAGGTGGATTCGGTTCGAGTATTTACAAATATGCAGACATTTGGTATCAGAACCGAACCGAACAAATATCTTAACCATGAACCGTTCCGAACCAAAATTTTTGATTAAACGAAAATATTTGCAATAATTCAAAAAATTAAGAAAAAATACATCAAAAATATCATTAATATTCCAATTAAATAAAAATATTTGCAAATATTCCGAAGCACAAAACTGAAATCGAACCATATAATTATTAATATAATGCTTAATATATAATAATATAAATATAATCGAACCGAAAAAAATATCAAAAACCGAAATCAAACCTAACTGAACAAATATCAAATATAGAGTATTTGTATTCAAACCGAAGCTCGTTTAACCAAAAATTCAGTTCAATTCGGCTATTCAGTTAGGTTTTTTTGCCCACCCTTGGGTAAAAGTAATAATGTTATGTAAAATAAAAATATTTATAAAAAAAAATGATTACTTCGTAATTAGGCAATTTATAATATAAATATATATACTTTGGGAGTAGACGAAGGGAATATTTCTTTCGTGTAATTAAAAACCATCTGAGGCGAGGTCGCACTTACCATGTTTTGAGCCCGTCTCGCTCCTAACATAAGGGAAACCGGCAAACATCGGTTAGTATTAGTATTAGTCTCGTTCGTTGCTAAATCTCTCCGACAAATCGCGCAATGTGAAGTACATACCTTGTCGAGCTCTTGAGCGACAACGGATAGCCCGTAGTCGCTCAACTTGCCAATCCGGTGCTCGTTGAGCAAGATATTGATAGTCTTCAACCGATTGCTAAAAAAGCCCGGGATAACTCCCGTGTGCAAGAAATGGACAGCCTTGGCGACGCCGGTCACAATGGCTAATCTATCCGACCATTCGAGTGCCTTCTCCCGATCGGTTTCTAGGGCACGGAGAAATCGCAAATGTAATTGTTAGATGATATAAATGATCGACTCCCCTAAAAATTTAAGCTGTTAGAATACGATATTATTTAATTATCTATTTACAAATGAGAGTAAACCGATAGTATTAAAGGAATTATACGATTGCTCGTGATCCTACTTTCATCATGTTCGACGAGAAAAGAGTTGTTTCTATACCGGAAAGATGCGCGCAGTAATTGCCATTCGGAACGTATTCATAAACGAGATAGACGTTGTTCGCGCCCGACTCGTCCTTCCCTTGGCTCTCGATGCAATGCCCCAACAAGCATACGAGATGAGGATGTCGAAGCTTCGATAGCAAATCGAGCCGGAGTCGGAGGTTGCGGATCGTGTACCTCCTCGACACCGTCAGGCACCGGACGACGACTCGAGCCCCGGATTCGAGCCGGCCTTTGTACATCTGCAGATAACACACGTGAATGTTAGACGATGTAAATGACCGACTCACCTAAAAGTTTAAGCTGTTAGGGATACGCATAATTTATTTATTTATCTACAAACGAGAGTCAATCAGCAGTGAAAAAACTTGTCGACCTGTGCATATATATATATACGGCATGATCTCAAAATCACAAGACCTTCGGGTACAATCCGGGTTGAATGTACCCGGACAAACGTGGGTTGGTAGGTTATATCTACGGCATGAGAAAAATATACCATGTTATAATTTTTTAGAGAAAATAAAGAAAGTGTATTATTGATCGTCGAATCCAAGTAATCTAATTTATAAATAAAACTAAATCTAAATATAAATCTACTAAATTTAAAGTCGAATATCTAAAATATCTCAACATATATATACCTTTCCGGTCGAGCCTTCGCCCATCAAGGCCAACTCGTCAAAGCTACCGGTGGCGGCATTCAGCTCGTCGAGCGAGAACAGGCGGTGGGGCGGCGAAGCCGCCAACTTCGCCGCGTCGGAAATGAAACCTGCAGAGCAAAATATTGTTACGAATCGAACAGAATTGAATCGAATCGAATTGAATCGGAAAATACGTACGGGCATTTGTTAGAAGCTCGGCCGTGTATCCCGACACAGAGTTCTCCGGCGCGGCCTTGTGCAGCAAGTGCTGCTCCGACGAGCCTCGCAGGCAATACTGCCGACACAAGACGACAAAACCGAACGCCAAAACTGCGACAGCCACCGCAATTCCGGCGACAGCTCCGATCAATACTCCAGCGCCTTTCCCGCGAGAATTCTTCTGATCCCGGGCTGCCTCGACGCAATATTCGCCGGAATGCTGATCGCGGAGGCTCCCGGAAAGACAATTTCCGGCAGACTTAACGGAACTGGACCGCAAGCACGGCGGCAGAGCGCCGATCAATCGATTGTTCGAGATATCAACCGAAACAAGGCGAGCGTCGCAAATCAATCTCTCCGGAATCGATCCGCTCAACGTGTTTGACGACAGATTGATTGAATTAACTTCAGGCAACGCGAAAATGCCGCCGGGGATTGGTCCGGCGAGGGAATTGGACGAAAGGTCGAGGATCCGGAGGCGATCCAGTCCGGCGAAGCGGTCGGGGATTCTGCCGGAGAAGGAGTTGTTTCCGAGCAGAGCTGCCGTGACTCCGGCGGGGAGCTCCGGGAGCTCGGAATCGAACAGATTGCTGCTCAGATCAAGCCAGGTTAATCTGGACAGAGAACTGAGATCAGAAACCTTCCCGGAGATCAAATTGCCTGACAAATTCACGTCGGTGAGCGTCGGAACTCTCTGCAACGACGACGGGAGCGAGCCGGTTAAGAAATTGCGAGCGATGCTGAGACTGGAGAGATTGGAAAAGGAATGGAGCCAATTGGGGAAGCTGCCATTGAAGAAGTTGGAATCGAGCTTGAGAGTGCGGAGGGAGACGATTCTGGGGAGGGTGGGGGGGACTGAACCGTACAAGAAATTCCAGCTGAGATCGAGGAATTGGAGCGATTGGAGGCGGTGGATTTTGGCGGGAAGGGGTCCCCAAATCTGCAACGAAATTAGGGTTAAGGTTCGGAGGTTATTGAGCCTGGAGAGAGTGGCGATGAGTGAATCGATGGAGAAGTTTTGGGAGAGGGTTTGGGGAGGAGAGGGGTGGCCGTCGAAGGAATTGGGGCGGGGGAGGGCGGCGGCGGCGCCGCCGAAGATGGTGATTCCGGTGACGGCGTTGTTGTCGCAGGTGATATTGGCCTGGGGGGAGGAGAGGGAGCAGAGGTCGGCGGCGGGGGTGGACCAGGCGGAGAGGGGGGCGGGGTATTCGAGCTGTTTGCGGAGCTGGAGGAGGGTTTGGGTTTGGGAGGGGGGGAGCTGGAGGGAGGGGAGGAAGAAGAGGGAGAGGAGGAGGGAGAGCTTGGGGAGGTCCATTAATGGCGGATGGGGGAGGAAACTGGTGTTTCAGTTGTTCATGGAGGAGTTATTGATGGACAGCGAGAAAGTGAAGAAGAAGAAGAAGGGAGATGGAAATGGTGGAGAGGGAATCTGATGGGAGCACGTGGAGCAGCGTTGTAGAGAGAGAAAGAGAGAGAGAGAGAGAGAGAGAGAGTGGTTGGGGTAGTTTTGTTTGATGGTTCCTGTGTGTGTGTTTTTGCAGAGAGTGCAGAGTGAGAGGAGGAAGAAAGGTGAAGGAGATGATGAGGCTGAGTGTGTGCCAATTATTATTATTATTTATTAGTATTATTATTATTATTATATGATTTCCAGGTCAGTTATTTTTAATTTTTTTAAATATTTTAAATTCTGCTTTCCAGAAAGACATACAGACAGTAGGCATATGTATATTTTGTTATACTAGTTGTTTATTTGTGGAGTATGGGTTTGTTTGTTTAGTTTTTTATTTAATGTATATATATATATATATTTATTTATTTATGTAAAATATACGAAATTGTATAAATAATATATAAAGTATTCCCTCCGTCTCATAAGTATAGTGTTAATAGAGTTGAGTACGAGATTTAAGAAATATTGATATTATATTAGTAGTTAATAAAAAGTATGGATAAAAGACTTTTTTTGCTTTTGTGAGTGTATTAGTGTAAAAAGTAGTTGCAATTGTGTAATAAAAATGAAAAGTTAAGAGTAGTTTAATGGTAATATGATTATTTATGAAAATAAAACTATTATTTTGAAACGGACAAAAATGGTAAACGACACTATTATATTGAGAGATAATTGTACAAAAAAAATACATAAATACAAAGATATTTTTAATATTAAATATAACGATCCAAAATATAAATATAACTTTCAAGACGAACAAATAAAGTATATTATATATTAAAAATTGTATCAAAAATATAAAAGTATTTTGTTTTTCTTAAAAAAGAAATTCTAATCCATTTGCTTTCTAATCACATTATTGGTAATATTTTATTAAATATAAAAGTATTTTATTTAATTTAAAAAATATAATTACATAAATTTAAAACAGATATATTGAAGATAAATAGAATAAAATGATAAAATGAAACATTTAAAGTGATCGATATGATTATTATTATTATTGTAATTATGTAGATTTCCTTAGTCAATATATATCTTAGTCAAATAATTTTTTGTACTGAAATTAAAAATGTTGTACGTGTAGTAGTGTGAAACTATTTATTTTATGTGTTACTTTCTCCGTTGCAAATAAGATTCAACGTTTGTTTTTGGTACGGGTTTTTAAATGGGTAGTATTAAATAAGATAATTTAAAAATTAAGTGATGTGATGGAGAAAGAAATATATATTTTATTTTTTTTATTTGGATGACGTGAGGAGATAAAGTGTGGGATAGAGATTAAGTATAATTAATTATTTCCTATTTTAGAAATATTGTAGAGTGTTTGGAACATACCAAAAAGAAAATATTGTAAAATGTTAGCATAATTAATGCGTTATTTGTCTTTATATCATATATATATATATATATTTATAGCATATATTGTGTTATATTATATCATGTATTGTGTTAGATTATACTCCCTTCATCCCAGAACTATAGTTTGGGTTGTGTTCGACACGAGATTTTAAGAAATATTAATATTATATTGATAGCAGGTAAAAAGTACAGGTAAAAGACTTTTTTGCCCTTGTGAGTGTATTAGTGTAAAAAGTAATGATAGTTTTATAGTGATATGTTTATTTATGGAAATGAGACTATTATTTTGTGACGAACAAAAATGGTAAACAAGACAATAGTATTGGAATGGAGAGAGTAGCATGTATTGTTTTGGATTATATCATATATTGTATTTATATTATATTAATATAACTAATATATTATTCGTCTTTATATTGTGTGATGTTTATCTTTATAGAGTGTATTGTCTATTCTAATTAGAGATGGAATAGGCGGGGTCACCTGTCAGGGCCTACGGCCTGGCCTATATAAGGTTTAGCTTGACCTGATCTATTTACTAAAAAGGCAAGGTCAAAATAAAATTTTAAAGCTTTTTTATTTAAATAGAACATGCTTGGGCTTAAAAAAAATAGTATTTTTAATTAACAGACCAGCATATTTAATATTATTATTTTTGTATAAAAATATTTTTTATAATTATATACTCCCTCCGTCCACAAAAAAGTATACAATTACTTTTGGCGCGGTGTTTAAGAAATAATAGTATTTTAATTATATTGGGTAGTTAAAAGTAGTGTAATGACATTTTTGCCCTTGCTTTTTGGTGTAAAAGTAATGATGTGATGTAAAGCGGGGGTATTTGTGGAAAAAAGTAAGGTATTTAATGAAATGTTTACTTTGTAATTGGACGTCCCAATATAGAAACATGTATACTTTTTAGCTGGACGTAGGAAGTATTAAAAATAATTTTCTATCTAATAATAATATTTATTAAATAATTTTAATTATAAATTTATTATAAAAATAGAATTTTTTAACTTTTGTATATATTAAATAATTGTTTATATATTTTATTTATTTTTTATTTCTAACTAAATTTGCAGATAAATAAATAAATAAATAAAAATATTATGTAGTTTTTTAAATAGGTTTGTAGGTCATACTTAAGCTTTTTTTAAAAAAAAAAAAAATCAGACTTAGATCAGATTTATGCCAAATATTTTTAAAATAGGTCAGAGCTATATAGTTTAAATATTATGTTATGCCAAGGAAATCCACCTAATTTTGAAAAAATTAAAGTTGCATAGATCAAAGTGAAATAAGAAGAAAATTGAGTTAGGTAAAAGACTAAATTACATGTTAAGGGATTACTAAAAAAAAGATGGCATAAATTATAATGAAATATTTGTTCCGATGTCAATTTTACTATTGTTATATTACGTTATTTTTAGTTGATTATTTTGATAGCAAACGAAATCAATTGGATTTTAAAACAGTTTATTTATATGGTGAATTAAATGAATTTATGAAACAATCGGAATTTTTTTTTTTTTTTTTATCTTAATAGATTATGCTTGTTTATTGAATAAATCATTATATAATTTTAAAATAGTCACATAAAGAATGAAATACCAAATTGACGAGTGTATGAAAAAATTGATATTTTTTAAAAACAAATTTGATTACTATTTATATTTTATAACGTTATTGAATAGGGACCAAACCTCGGATAGAATTTAATAGCGCAGGATCTAGAGGCGTCGGAATTTAAACTCGTTCACAATCATAGGTCTCTCTTCACATCACCATGTCATTCATATTACGGGACAAGTTAGAATCTAATATTGAATAATGTAACGTGTACCGTATTCTAATGCAGTAGGATCTGCTATGTATCTAATACTTCCTCCATCACAAAATTATAGTCTGAGTTGTGTTTGACACGAAATTTAAAGAATAATTGATATTATATAGGTAGTAGGTAAAAAGTACGGGCAAAAGACTTTTTTGCCCTTGTGAGTGTATTAGTGTAAAAAAATAGTGGCAATTGTGTAATAATAATGAGAAAATAAGGGTAATTTTATAGTAATATGATTATTTATTGAAATAAAACTATTGTTTTGGGATGGACACAAATGGTAAACAAGACTATTGTATTGAGACGGGGGAATACTTAGTACTAAATCTGATTCAACCTATGTTGTTAATTGTTTAAGTAGATATATGTCTAAGTCTGATTTAAAATAATTGGTAATCATTGAAATGACTTTTTAGATGTTTAGTAGATACTGTCAATGTGGGTTTAGAGAGTGTTTGGTAAACAACGTTACGAAGAAGTTTTAGTTTATTGAACAATTTTTAATTGTCTGACGAGTAAAAAAAAAAAAATTAATTTAAGTGTTTGATAAATTAATTTTTTGGATTATTTTTTTGAAATAAATTATTAATTTGAAAGTTAATTTTTAAAACGTTGTATAACCCAACGTTGAGAATAGTTGCTTCTCTTTAAATTTCTTTATTCTTTATTTGCCCATAAATACAAGTCATTCATTTCACAAGTATTAATATATTTTTCATTATAGTATTTATTATTTATTTTAGTATGTGTTTTAATTACTTATAACTTTTACTTTTATAAATTTAAAATAATTATTAATTTATAAGTATATTATATATTTTTGTCACATGAATTTTTTTATAAATAAAGAATATATTATAATAAAATTATTTAAAATTATAAATTTAATAAAAAATAAATTAATTAAAATTAACTTCATAAAAATATATACATTTTTTAATTTTTTATATTTTAAATTATTTCTAATGAAAAAAAGTTCATTTTTTTTTTAATAAAAATACATTGATTTTTTACAAAATATTTAAAAATAACAAAAATAGATGTTTAATAAAATTTTTATAATTTTCAATAAATAATAAATAAAAAAAACTTCTAAAAAATTTTACATACCGAAAAAAATATAATTAAATATTTTTATAATCATTTTACATATAAACAATAATAAGTATTAATAAATAGTATCAAAAGTTGTAAAAATATTTTATTTCCAACTTGTGGTTAAATAAATAAGTATTATCTCTTCTGCGCAATGCCCATACTTTGTTTCCTACATATTTAGACACGAATCTCTGCCTTGTTTTTGTCTACATATTTAAGTGTATTTATTTATTTTTATTTATTTTGCTTTTTTCTACTTCAAATATTTTAATGAAAATTAAATATAATATTATATTTAAGTAAAAATTATATACATAGATATATTTTTGAATAAAAAATTTATTAAAAATTATATTATTTCCGTTCACATAGAAAATATACATATTTGTATTTTGGAACGTCCAATTACAAAGTAAATATTTCATTAAATACCTCTTTTTTTTTTCACAAATGTTCTTACTTTACATCACATCATTACTTTTACACCAAAATGTAAAAAAAAAATTATAATTTTTTAAACACTGCACCAAAAATAAATATTTACTTTGTATATAAACGGAGAGAATATTATATAAAAAATGAAAAGTTGAAAACAAAATTAAATTATAATTAAATACGTTTTTTTTAATTTACTTCTACTATTTGTCTATTTCTATAAAAAAAATATTATTATTTCATTTTATATAATATAATATCTAACTATTATTTAAATAAAAAAACACACAAATTCAAAGTTTGAATTTGTTCATTTAGTGTTTTTAGTTTAGACGATTCATCTTAAATTTTATTAAAAAATATATAATATATGCATATGGTGATATATAATA